ATAAACAATTTGATCGTAAGAATTTAAAGTGTTCATACCTGCTTCTAATCAACCCCCTTTAATTAAAACAAGTCATTCGAGTCAAAATTAGATTGTTTCTATCACAAATATTATTTGATTTAAAATCAAAAGTTAGGATTATTAATTTTAGGAAACAAAATGATATATGTATTTGAATTGTTTAAATTAAATTCACACGTGTAAAATGTTAACGGGAAATAATTAATTCGTTACTTTTTAGTTGGGGGTTGTAATAAAAAAAAAAAAAAAAAACAAAGAAAAGAAAACGCAAGTACCTTGAAAAGTATTAACATCAGAAAGATATGTATATATATATATATATATATAAGAGCACATAAGTGATAAAGATTTTGATACAGCACACTATATTACGAATATTAGTATAATTAAACAATTTTTTATTACAATTATTTATATTATATGCAAATAAAAATATAAATTGAATTATTATTCTATTTTTTTTGTTTCTTTTTTTTTCTTTTTTTTTAACTCACAATCAGTCCACTGTTCTAATTAACCAATAAACACAAAAGTTTACATGTACGTATGAACGTTGACGAATCAATTCGTAACAGTGTACCGAATGCACGATCTAGGTCAAAAGTATTAAAGATGACCGATGACTCACTGCCGAGACCCATTTAAAGCTCCATCCATCCATCCATCCATCCATCCATCCATCCATCCATCCATCCATCCATCCATCCATCCATCCATATCTTCATCGTAAGTAATTTAGTTACATATTTATTGTTTTATATCTGTAAAATATTTAATTGAATCATGGAATAAATTCATCATTAAAAAAAATCCTTTCAAATATTCCGAACGTTAGAAAATCAATTTCCTATTTTTTTTTCTGAACTTTTTTTTTTAATTTGTCTAACTAAAAATACGAACGATCGGTACACGATTATGATAGTAATAATAATAACAACTAATAAAAAAAAAAGAAAAGAATTTTAGTAAATTGTATTATCACGAAAGTGATGTTATTAATATGAAACAATAACGTAGTATTTTTTTTTTTACATTCAAACCATCGATCCAATGGGGCTTCTGCTTTTCTTTGAGAAAGAGAGAGAGAGAGAGAAAGAGAGAAAAAGAGAGAGAGAGAAAGAGAGAAGAATATTTTATTGGAGTCACCGACCCCTGTAAACGATCGATCGTCCTATTTCTGTATATTCCGGGCCAATGTCCGTAAATTCGATAAATTTTCATGTTGCACAGAAAGAGAGGTAATAATTAATTAACCTAAAACTTTCCACCCACCCCCTCATCGAATACCCGCTCTCGCAAACTTATGAATAATTTTATGTTAAATGTTCAATTTTAGTTGTTGCTTATACGATTTAACGGATAATTACAAGGACAAGAAAATATTCGACTATTCTTTCGTACGAACAAAGTTGAAGAAAACTTTTACTATATATATATCTTTTTTTCTTCATTGAAGAAGAAGCAAGAAGAAAAAAGAAACAAACAAGAAACCCAAGACTTTAAAAAACATCCAAGAAAAAGAAGAAACCAAATTTCTACTTCAAAGTAATAAAATTAAATTAAAGTAGTTGCGAGTCGAATCGAGTCAAGTTTAGTTTTAGTTTTAGTTAAATTGAGAAGTATTCTCGCGCAAGAGTTTTAAGATGAGATAACAAAGGTAAATATTGTGGTTTTAAAGTGAATCTCCGAAAAAAGGAGCTCTTAGAAAAATTCTAATCCGAAGAAACGCAAAAAAAATCTCCTCGATCAGCATTTCTTCCCATTAAATTGCTAACCCCCTCATTTGGGGATTTCATTTAGTCACCAAGGGACACGTCTATTCACACACGTGTCATTCACAGGCGTGTATTTACAATTCCTTATAGAAATGTGATATTTTACAATTAAATTTTAATACAAAAAGAAAATTATTTAATTCAATCATTTCGAAGAAGGAAAAACGTGTCGGAGTTTGTTCGAAAGAGAAGAAGAAAAAGAAAGAAAAAAAATTAGAAAAATGAACAGAAAAAAATATGAAGCATAGAAAAAAAGAAATGGGGGAAGAGAGGAGGAGAAGAAGGAGGAAAGGATGGAGAAGAGAAGGGGATAGGGAAGTTTTCGCACGGAATAGAGAGCACGTCGTTCCCACATCACACATCTTTTTCCGTACGAAGCTGTTCTGCACGTGGTGTTCAACATCCGCGTGTGATTTGAACGTTTTGTCCACATAAACAACAACCGACAACAACAACGCAGATGCAACTACTTTTTGCTATTAAGCTTTACATACATATATATGTATTTTAATTTATGACGAGAAGTTCTTTTTTAGAAACGAATTCTTCGTACGTATTAATTGAATTAATTATTGTGCATGCAGTTGAATTCTACACGATTGTCATAAAATTGATGTGTGTGTGATCACTGTTGTTGTTGTAAATGTTTTAACAATTAACAGAGATTGTCAAGGAACGAATAAAAAGAAAATTTTTCTTAACACGACAAATTAAAATTAATTTCATTGAATTGCATTAAAATCTTGATAATATTAAAAAAAGAAAAAAAGAATATTAACGAGAATATGTAATAATATTAAATAATTTTTAAAAATTGTAAATTTAAATAAACGGTTTATTTTTTTATTTATACCCCTAGAAAGTGCTATTCAAACGAAATAAATTTCGACGGATTAAAAAATTATTAAAAATATCGGAAATAATTATTCGATAACATTATAAATTATAAAAAAAATGATTATTCGTTTTTTTTATGATTAAATTAAAAAAAAAAAAATTAAAAGCAGATTTTATTGTGTTATGTAAGTCATACCAACGTTAGTCAAATTGTCGTTAGAAAATTTGTTCGCACACGTTTCCGATGTTACGGAAAATTATCTAAAGAAAAAGTTGAATAATTTATGTAATAAAAAAAAAGAAGAAGAAAAAAAAGAAAGTAAATTCTTTAAGTGAAACGAGTTGTGTGTGTGATTTCCTCAAAAGAAACCACGATTAAATTCATCGATTCTCTAACAACTAACAACAGTGTGGCCTTTTAAGTGAAACTTTTGGCCTTTCATTCAAATTATTCGCGAGTATGGGAGAAAAATTTAAAAAAAGAAACAAGAGAAATGAATAAAAAGAATCTCTCAAAGTGACACGTGAGAAGATAGCAACAGATCCATAATCTAAATTGCGAGATATTGTGTGCACCGTGCCAACTTACGAAACGAAACAAAGATCTTTCTTTAGAGAAAAGGTTCTCACATCGAATGCGATTAAACTCTTTCACTTTGTTTTTTTATTTTATTTTATTTTATTTTTACATACATTCCACCATTTTCAATTGTCCTAGTAAAAGAGTTGAGAAAAACGAGCAATGTTTCACGTTGGTAGGTTTTAGTACCGTTCGTTTGAACAAAAAAATTCATGTAAAATTCTAACAAGAACTTGTTGAAAACACGAACGTTTAAAAGCCTTGAACTTACTAGGTACAATTTTCTCAACCTAAATCTGATTACCAAGGCCACTTTTTAAAGATGAATAAGATTTTCAAGCTCGAATTATTTAGAAACTATCCTTTTTTTATAGAAACGTGATAACCGTTCTCGAAATGAAATGATTTTAAGCCAATTATTTTTTATTCTTTTTCTTTCCACACAGAATAATTTGTATATAATAAATATCAAATACTTCACGAGTACTAATTTAGCAACGAGTCAATGGTAAGAAGCAAACGCGACTTATTCAACGAGTCGGTGAACGCGTAAATGCTTTTTTCTATCAAAAATAAAAGGGAGGGAGGAAAAACAAGTAAACAAACAAACAAATAAAAAGTAGATCGTACAAAAGGCAACTCATTTTTGTAGACCAACCACTCTGTACGTGCCCGTTTTCTGGATCTATTCATTAAAACCTAACGGCGTAAATACGTAGATACATGTAGATACATACATATATATATACCGTTATAGTACGTGGTATAACGAACATAAAGTTTTTATGGTAATAAAAAAAAAAAAAAAAAAATATTCCAATAAACGTGTTGCTTCTACTCTTCGTTATAAGACATTTTTCGTTTTCTCCATTTTTTTCTTTTCAATTCAAACTCTGTTTTACTCTGTGCCAATCATTCTACTCTTATCATCTTTTATTTTATTTCTCTCTCTCTCTCTCTCACTGATTCCTAACTTCACTTTTTTACTTTTTCTGTCTGCTCGTAGGTATATCTATCTGTTTCTCTTTTACAATTGGAACTATTTTTACTGAAAAGCCGTAAGAAAAAAAAAATGAGAGCATTTCAAAAATTGAACCGTTTAATTTATGCTACTCGCATTTAATTGAATGTGCTACGAAACAATGCGTTTAGAAAATTTATATTATCGTTGTTACTCTCGTTAAACATAATAAAAATAGCGGCACATTACAAAGTGTTATTGTAGAATTTTTTTTTATTTGACACTTAACGAATAAAATAAAAATGAAAATATTTTCAAGATTTGTTACCCCAACTTTTCTAGTTTAAGAAAATTATTCACGAATGTACGATGCACATATACAATCAATAATGAAGAATAAAATTTATATAAAAGAAAAACAAAGAAAATGAAAACAATTCTAACCTAAAAGATCTATCATATTAAAATGTTTTTACGAAAAATTTATTAACGATCGAAAAAACGAAAGGAAGTGTAGAGTAATCGATGAGAGCAAGAATGTTCCCTAATAATAGCACATACTCGCTACTATATTTGCCCCGTAGAAGCTATCAAGAAAACATTCGTTTTTGGCGCCATCTTGTAAATCAAGATGCATAAATCGTAACTCTAAAAAGGTTTGTTCGTAGATTCGATTTAATGACTCAAATCATCCTTGCCAGATTATTATTTCAAATCGTTTACACTATAAATTGTTCACTTTTTATGAAAATTTTATAATCTTAAGTATTCTAATCTCTCACGAACAAGCCTTTTTTTGTTATTTAATATAAATAAAAAATCTTACTTTAACTATAACTCGCAACTGTCGCCACAGGATCCATGATTGAACCTCGGTGTAAGAATTATTCTAAAAAAAATAAAAAGAAAAACACAAAAATAAATCTCATAGAAATTTTAATAAATCTATTAGACAGAAAAATATTAGACATAAAAATTAATGTAAAAAGTAAGACAAATTATATAGAAAATTATATGATAACATAAACATAGAATAATTACATGAGAAAACAAAAAAAAATATAATTGCATAGTTAACTTTCTAGTACCCTAGTTAACAGGAAGGAAAGCACGAAGGGATGTGAGGAGACGTATGAGGAAAAGGGAGGAGGGGAGGGGGATAGAAATGAGGCCCTCGAGGAAATTGGTAAAGCCGGTTGGACATTGATTATGCCAAGGTAGATTAACTTTAGTATCGATTAGGCGAAATGTTAGATCCTGAGAACCCCCTATAGGGTATCATTTAATTAAAACTTAAAGGGTTCTTCGAACATACGTTTAAAAAAACGTCTCAACTATGTCTAAAAAATATTCACACGACAAAAGTCAACCACAAACATAGATCGTTTAATTTTATTCTTTAATTTTTTTATATAGTTTTAATGACGATGAACGTTTAAAAATAACATTTTTTTTTTATAAATTTCACGATAGATACACGTATAAGATACATGCAGGAAATTTTATTTTTTTGCATTTTATTCTCTCATTGTCAATCTATGTTTCTGGTTTCGTGTAACAGGAGCTGAAAAACACTGAACGTGACCCGCTTAGTTGATGCTATGAATAGTCTACAGAGAACAAGAAAGAGAGAAACAGAAAGAGAGAAAACGTGCACGTGGATAGTACGTGAAGTGGTCCATGGTACAAACTGTAAAGCACCGAAGAAACGTCAAATAAACAAGCTCAAAGAGAGCAGGTCCAATTTCAAACTTCCGACCGAGTTAAGGATCACTCGAATCGCATGAATGTGAAGATATATAAGTGATCTCTTTATGATAAAGATTACATTTTAACGGTTAACGTTTCGGTTAAATTACGAAATATACGAAATATTAGATTAATACTATGTAAAGGGTTTTTTTTTTCTTTTTTCAATAATATTCAAGTAGATCGAACAAATCTCGAGATCAATAATTTGAGAGACAATTGATTTATTGGGAAAAAGAAAACAAAAACATTCGTAGAAAGTAATAAAATATTCAAACCGATGTAAGATAATAAAAAAAAAATCAAAATGGAGCAATATACAATTTCCTCTTTATTCAAGGTTTACTTTTGTTTTTGGAGTCTTTTTATGATTACCACGAGTTAATGAAAATTGTCACGTTGAAATAGAGGGGAAAAAAAAGAAAAAAACCTGTTTGCAACGTACCGTAGAATAAATAATAAAAATTTATATACGTGCGTGCATGCGTGCGTATATACGTAAACATGTGCGTGTATGTATGTTGAGGAAGGAAGAGTAGAAAAAGTAGGAGAAGAAGAAGACTTCCTTTGTTCGTTCGAATCGAAGCGAGCACCTCTGCTAACGACGAAAGGTGAGGCGAGAATAATAGCCCTCGTAAACCGGTTGCAACGTTGTCCTCGAGACGAAGACAGCGAGAGTTCGGCCAATTTTGACTTAACGGTAAACAAACGCTATTACGAAGGTGCGAAATATACATCAAAATCGTGCCAGTTTGTTCCCCCCTCTGATATACCCCCTCCTCGTTTTTTCTTTTTTAAATTTTATTTTTAAAACAATACCCAAAAATCCAGCCCCTTCTCAACCTCCTGTTTCTGTATCAACAAATTTCAATTTGTAACGAAATTTAACGCAATTCTTCAAAATTAGTAACTTAAATTAAAATTATTTAATTGAACTATTATTTATACGAAACTCACGAAATTTTAAGTGAACGCGATTAAAATAAAATACTGGAATAAACTAAAAGAAAAAAAAATTATGGAAACACGATGATTTTATGCTTTAATGCGAAATGTTATAATACGTTTTTTGTGGTATTAAAAAAAAAATATAAAAAAAACAGTAATGATAATTATTCGTTGGGCGTTTGTATAATTACTGCTGCAACTGCTTAATAACACGAAAAAAATGAGCAATTTTTATCAGAAAACCAACGAAATGTAGGTAAACGTAGAATGCAAATTAAGAATAATACCTATGCGAATAAAAAAAAAAGAAAAAAAAGTTAGGAAACACATATTTATATATAAGAATAACGTTATCTTTACGATCGTTAAAAAAAGATAACAATAATTATTTGTTAAATATTTTTTGGTATCGCGCCAAAATAAATTGCTACAGGGTTTTCTTCCTACGCATAATCTTCTTTTTGAGAGACGTATGGTATTATGATGCGTAGGAGTATTCGAATCGTTCTTTTTTCATCATTACGTAACACAAAAATTTCCTAATTCAAGAATAAACATATTTGAACGATGTGAGGATCACATCACACGCGCGGTGACTAAATTTTTTTGATTTTGTTACATAAAAAAATGAACATTTTTTTTTAAATTTTCTTGTTTTTGTTGTTAACAACTGCAAAACGAAGCAAAGTTTCTCATAAAAGACTAATCTTTAATCAACATGCCGATAAATCCCTGTATATTTTATCTTTAAAAAAAAGAAAAGAAAAAAAAATTTAGAAAACTATTAAAGTAATAAGAATTTAAGTGAAACATTAAATTACCAATTACCAGTTAATTTTTTTGCTTAAGAGGGTATTCTGATCTAGAACTTTGAAAAAATCGATTTTTTTTTCATATTTTCAAATCTTAAAATTTGAAGAATATGTCCTTAAGAGGATTTTTCAAAATTCAAATTATTTTCGGAGATATAGCTTTTTTAGTAACGCGGCATCCTATATCTTACCCTTATTATTCAAAACTTTGAACCCGTTTTTCTCTAAACTGTTTTTTTTCACGGTTGTCATGATTTCTCAAGTTCTACTAAACTGATTTACTTGAAATTTGGTGAGAGTCTTCTCTATGCATTTCTCTATCGTACTAACTAAACTCTTAGAACAATTTTCAATTTCTACTATTTTTTAAAAATTCGGAAAAGTAAAAAAAGTGGTAAAAATAATGTATCTTTTTTTCAGAAAGCCATAATTTAGCGAAACAAAATTTTTTTTAACTCTTTTAGGTATTACGATAGCGTCATTATTCTAAATCAATAATCTTTCTAATTTTTTTAATTCCAATTACTAGGAGAGCTGCAATCGTGACAACCGTCGCGTGCCGTTTTTTGGGACACCCCACTTCATCAGCCTATATCTTTTTCAATTTTGAATTTTTTCACTATTTTTTTTCATGTATTCTTAAAATATTATTAAATATCTTGTAATATTCTAGATAGTGAAAATATTATACGTCTTTTTGTTATTGCACTTGAAAAAGTACCTAAAATTCATACCTCTAGATCAGAATACCCCCTTAAACATGCAATGAAATTTAATATATATATAATACGGATTGTGTTGTTTTATTAATATTAAAAATAATAATAAAAATAATGATATTTTGTAATATTATTTTAAATATATATATATGAACATTATCGTGTACATTAATTCGTAATTATTATAACATAATAAATGCAAACGCATCATACTTCTGTAATAAAATATTGCTTATTCCAGTTTACATAGAATTATTAACGATTGATAGTGAAGTCGTAAATACGAGACAGCATCGGATAAATTTATTGGCTTCCTATTTACCACTTGTGTGAGTAAATCTACATACGTGAGTATTTACAAATGCGTGAGCAACCTAGGAAACACACGTATGCATTGATACGGGCTACTGATTTTGAGTATACACATGCAATCTGAGTATCAAGCCCAACGTTCCAACGAATATTCTCTCTTTCTCTTTCTTTCTTTCTCTCTCCCTCTCTCTCTCTTGCTTTCTTCCTTTCTTTTTTTCTGTTTATAAATATCCTGCTTTACGAATATAAACACACACAGATTCTGTTTTTTTGAAGCCTTTGATCTTATTTCGAGTAACTTTCAATGATAAAAAGCAACTTATAAACAAACGCGATGACACGAAAAATTAATGATTGACGATAAAAAAAAATATATATATATATATATATATATATATATATATATATATGCCTACACTTTTTATTTTAACAAATATATAATACATAAATCATATGAAAGAAATTTTCTTTTATAAAGAATATATATTTGTACATGTTTGTTTCGAGATTTGTTAAATTTTCAAGCGTGCTAATTGTACGTTCGAATGCTCACAGGAGTGACCCTTAATTAACGACTATGAAAAAAAAAAAATAAAAAAGGAGAAGGGACAAACGACGTCAAGAAATGTAGGTCAGAACGATTGTTGGGAGCTTTGAATAAGTGTGTGTGTGTGTTATATTTTTATGTGGGAACTCTCGTATACGGTACGAAATTTTATAATAAACTGCAAAAACGTTTCTATAACAAAATCGTTAAGTAATTTAGTAACATTAGAAATATTGATCATGTTGACAATGAATAAAGTTTTATTATATACTATAGTTTTTAATCGATTAAATTTATTTTCCATGTACGATAACATTTTCTGCACGTACACGATTCGAAAAGTTTATACAATAATAATAAACGAATACTATAAAACATAAATTTTGATTGATCGTATTGCATAATATCGATACGATTTTTGATTGGGTTGTTGTTACTCGAAAAATTTCTATCCATTTATAAATAAATCAAATATATTTTGTTTCATTTCTTCTATCATGTCTATAAGAGAAGATTATAAAGGAACTATATTATATTTTCTAATAAAAGATTTAACTTAACCGTTTGAGTCCCAAGCAGCGCGATCGCGCTGTTGAGATTTTATGTCGAGAAAACCCCCAGTACATATTGAACATTGTGAACAACTGACGGTGCGCTCATATTTATGAAACAAATGCATACAAGTAGCGCTGTCGCGATGCTTATATCTTTTCGTACTCATTTAGAGAAAGCGCGGTTGCGCTGTTTGGGTTTCTTCCACGGTGTTTTTTCAAAACCCCCTTGGACTCAAACGGTTAATAACAATATGAGTATTTTTGATCATTAAAAAAATGCAAAATAAAAAGAAAAAAAATTATTACATCAGATTAACGATTTAGTCGATAAAAAATAAATCATAAAATTTAAATATAAATAAACGTATACGTACAAATACATGCTCATAATAAAAATAATTAGCAATATTATTACATTATATATTTATTATATATCAACGAATTGCGAAAAAATTACACGTCGAATCTTAATGAATTATTATTCATTAACTACGCGAATTTTCTTAAGCAACCTAAAGGGTAAAATTAACTAGCAAATATAATCGAAAGAATAAAAACATTACATATAATACAAATTATTACCAAATCGAATTAAAGTATCAATCAAACAAACACTCCCTGATAAAAGATTTTAAAAAAAGAAATAAAATTCATTCACTGTTAACACTGATTTATTTTCTTATACTTAAAAAAAAAGACAACAAAAAAATACCATATTCTCGTTAAAAAAAGAGAATAAATCGTCTTTGACCATAATAATTGTCGTATAGTCATGGAGTAAACGATAGAAAGTGGAGAGTGTTAGAAATGATGAAAGAAATAAAAAGAAAAAGGTGGGTGGGAAGGGAGACACAGGAGGGCAAGAGGGGAAAAAAGAGAAGGAAAGGGGGTGGGGATGAAAATCGATCGGCAATCATCGGCCACGCTTTTTTGTATTTCCAATGTCCGAGGAGGTAGTACCCAAGTACAGAACACACAGCAAAAGTGGACGATTCCAATGATGTACTAAGAGAAAGCTCACGTTCGAACGTTCGGAAAACTGTCGATCTTCTTTCTCTTTCTCTTCTCTTTTGCTCTAACTCTGCATGCATGTGTGTTTCGAAAAAGAAGGGTGGATGGATTCGAATCGAAATGGCATTCGGCCAAATTCTCCCGCGCTCAAACGCACATTATTAAAACCGTCGCCGGTTGTTGTTTATCGCGATGATTGCTGTCCCCAACGCTCATTATCGAACGGTACGAAAACGCCATTGTTTCGTTTGTACGGTCAAAGAATGAAAGAAAGGGACAGGACGAACAAAAAGATAGAGAGAAAAAGAGAGAGGGGAAGGGGGGGTGAGAAATACGAAACAACTATAAGAAAGGATTTAAAAAAGGATAGGAGTATAATAACAATACAAAAAATGTTGTCTTTTTCACTCACCAATTCGTTTGAAGACGATTGAAAATATCGTTGTCAGATTTTCCCTTGTTCCCCCTTTTAGAATACAAAACGTTGCGTTTATAATCCAATATGGTAGTTCCTATGTTGTACACATGTCAAAACAAATCACCGAACGACAACGACGCGACATTTATGGACCGGCCCTGAGAAAACTTCTAAGAGTTGAATATATTATATTCTTCCTTCTTTTTCTTCTTATTATCCCTCCCTTTCACTCTTTCTCTCTCTCTCTCTCTCTCTTTCTCTCTCTTTGTACGTGTGTAAGTGTGTATGTATATATGTTATGTATTATAACGAAAGAGAGAGAGAGAGAGAGAGAGAGAGAGAGAGAGAAAGAGAGGAGAAATGTACGACGAATTCTAATTGAAATGTTTTTTTTGTTAATTAAACGATCAAACAATTAAGGATTAAAAACTACTATTATATAATCGCGCACTTGAATATTTTTTCCTTCGTAAACGCGTCGTAATTCTTGATGTGCAAATAATAAGAAGACTTATATATGTGTGTATGAAAAAGGAAAGAAAGGGAAAATAAGAGAAAGAGAGGGGGAGACACGGTTAAGCAAAACGATACGCACGCGACGAACATCCAACGTAGACTGGCACCCGCACGCCACGGACGCAGTAAGCGGGGCAAAGAGGTGGTCGTCCGTTACGCGGTGGAAGGGGAAAGTTCGTTCGTGCTTGCTGGCTACGATTCGTTGGTGGGGGAAACGCGCGGCGCGTTAACTGAGTGGTGGGGATACCGGTGGTTCACAGTGATTCTCAACTATCGATGATGATTGTTTCCTTTTCAAACCCTTTTTTTTTATTTTCTTTTTTGATCAGTTCTTTAAATATATTATTTAAAAATATTTCGATAGATTTTTACTTTACTTTTTTAAGATATAAAATGACAATAGGACACATTTTTTTACAAATATTAAACTTCAATTTAATTTAATTTTTTTTTTAAGTAAGTTTGTTTTGCAAAATAAAATAAAATTATATTTTTCACATTAATTATAATATTAATTTGTATACATACCAATAATATCGGTAATTGTAAATTAATAAATAATATATGTGTATATATATGTATGTTAATGATTATTATTTAATATATTTATTATAAGCGAGTAGAAGTAATCGGTGTATAATTATATAACAATACAATGATCGTTAATTAAAATAGAACTTAATCGTAATATAGAAGAGCGTAAAAAAAAAATTGGTTTCGAAATGTAGACGCAATCCAAATACTTTCCTCATTTGCAAATAGCTCTCTTCTACTCGTACGGTATGGAATCATACCGTGTTTCTTTCATTTCGAAAGGGTTGCACCATTGTAAATGCATCATCCAAGTAAGAATACCATGTAGCCGAAGGTAAAACGGATTTCAGGCATCTGCTAATGCAGGACTTATTAGCACTAATTTTAGGAAAACAGGATATACTGGTATTCGTAAACTCACAATGAAATACCTATGATTTCAATGAAAGAAATTTTTCACATTAACAAACAGAGAGAGAAAGAGAGATAAAAGATAATAAATTTAAATGAAATAAAATCAATGATCAAAATTTCTATCACAACCAATTAGTATTTTATTTTCTTTAAATGGTACAATTAGCCAGATTTACAGTTAATTGGGTGGGAGGGAGGGGTCCAGCGGGTTGATTTTTAACTTAATTAAGCAATATTGAGAATGATATTGGCGGTACACCGAGGATCGCAGGACTCGTAGCAAATCGATTGGTCGCATGAAGGATTACGGGCGCGGTACGCATGCCGGATACCCGCGCGTACCTCTACCTAGCCGGTATCCTCTGAGCAACCACGCATGGTGGTGGGTCGGTCTGGCGAAGCACCGTGACCCACATTTCCATATCGACTACAATCCCAGCTAAAGTGTATTCTTTTGGTATACTTTTTTTATTTTCTTTCTTTTCATATCTGGGGGTGGGAGGTTGAGTCCATTTGTTTGGCCTTTTTCGTACCATAGTAGGGTTTATCGAAGGCTCTGTTATTCACAAAAGAAAAAACCCACCAAAAGAGAAAGAGAGAAACGATGATTGAAAGAAGAAGAAGAAGAAGACGACGAAATAGAGCACATGGAACCCAATGGTAAAACGTAATCTGTATAAAAACTGGTTGGTGAACTACCATTTAAAGAAAGTCAAAGAGGGAGAAGACGAATAAATCGTGTAAGTGTATATATATAACATCGCGCCTTCTATGGTTCTGAGTAACTACATAAGCATTACTACACACCCTGTGAAATACGTTCGCCAATGAAATTTTTGCTTGACCGTTTGTTATCGAATCGTAAAGTTGATTTTTAAATAGCGTATGTTATTTCTATTACCTTGATGATAGAATCCCTTTAACCGCTGTTGTATTCCATTTTCATTCAAGGACTCCAATCATCTTTATCACCTGCAATCAAAAAATATATCAAATATATATATTTAGTTTTATGCATTTTATATACGAAAGAACAAAATTTAAAAAAAAGCAAAACAAAAATGGCGTATACGTCACGTTTTAAACGTTACGGTTGAAATGTAACCTTCGCGAAAGAGAATAATCACGATTGAATCATCTTTAAAATCATGCACGGACAGCAATGCCTCGAGACTCGTCGAACGAGTTTGCGATAGCGTAATAATCCACGAACCTAGTCTCTCTCCTCTTGATGATTCATGAATCAATAATAATGACACACAAACACTATACGCGATTTTTGAATCTTAATGTTCTCCTGTTTATATAGGTTTGCCTGTCATGCAATAGTATAATGCAATAATATCTGTGTATATATCATGTTGTAACATAAATATTTACATATCTACATTCATACATGTATTTAATATTATATAAGTAAGAATATGAATTATAGATATAACGGTCTCAATTGCATGTGTCAACTTTCATAAGATGGCCTGGCCTAATTGTTTAATAATGTATGATCACCAAGTACAAATTTAAAATACCTTTTCTTAATTATTTTTATTATTGCAAACATAAAAAAAAAACTCGAAGATACGAGTCAACGAATATCAAAACTTTCTTATAAGAAAAAAAATAAAAAAATAAAAACATAAATTAGTTAAGAAATTAATCGATTTATTTTTATCTAGTACTTTATATTCATTATTTAGTTTGCTTTAGAATAGTTTGCTTATTTAATTTGCCATACTCTTTTACATTTAAATTAACTTCAAAACCAAAAAAGAAAAGAAAGCAAAAAAGCCGTAGACAAAGAAAGCAGAGAAAATGGGGGGAAGGGTGGCAAGGAAAAAAAATAAAAATAAAAATGACGTAGAAAAACGGTTTAACCTTTATTTTTTAAAACGGAGAAACGTTTAACGAGCTTAGGGAACTAGTCGAATTCCCATAGCAAAGATTCAAAACAATGAAGAAAAGGGGGTGGGTTGGTGAGTTGTGGGAGTGGGGATAAAGGGAAGGAGGTAAATGGGTATAAAACTAAATACCACCACCTTCGTAATAATTTTCAATTAATTATTCTCCCATCATCTTTATTGCAAAGCTATTATTTAACCGGGTTGATAAACTTTTATTCATAGCAAACAAGAGAGATAGACATTTCAAAGTAAAAGATCTGGTTCACCGGACAAAAACAACGAAAATGTTGAGAGAGAGAGAGAGAGAGAGAGAGAGAGAAAGAGAAAGAGAAAGAGAAAGAAAGAGAAAGAAAAAAAGAATAAAACAAGTTTATTCTTTCGATAAATATTTGAAATCCTAACGTGCTCACAGCTAGTTACAAGGAAAGGTAAGAATGTTTTTCACCTATTTTATCAAGGAACAAGAAGACGTGACATTGATTTGAATATGTATTCCCCACTTTTTCTACGTACGAGTTAAGATTCGTTTCGCGCACCACCACCCCCTATCCTTCACCCTCACCATCCCCCTTACCCGGCCCCATTTCGAAAATGAAGAAGAACAAGAAGAAGGTACTTTGGAAAGTAGACTTGTATGTATATAATACCTAATAATAGTAGCAGTAGTAGTAGTAGTAGTTAGTAGTAGTAGCAGTAGCAGCAGAACACAGGAACTCTGTTGGGTGCCATGCGCATATCGAGCTTTAATCGTAGCTTGTTTTAACTCGGTTTCCTTGTCTCTCCTTCGACTAACTCAGCTACTCGAGCCTACTCGTCGAGGACACATACGTGACTTTAATTTTGATACGGGGAGGAATTCCCATGCTACGAACACGCTCCTGCGGTTTAATTTCACCAACGCAGCAGCAGCAGCAGCAACCTGCCTACGTTTCCTACCAATCATATACCTCTCTCTCTCTCTCTCTCTCTCTCTCTTTCTCTATCTATCTTTCTCTTTGGTACTTGGTCTATCCTAAGTCATCCCCCCGTTTTATTGATACATAACCTCTACGCACGTACCAAACCAATTCAAATAGACGATAAAAATATGATGATGATACATAAAACAAGGATTATTTAAAAAAAAATATTATTCTTTTTAAACAAGATAAATACTTTTTCTTTACCATTTAACATATAACTCTAATACTGATGTACCTGAAGATTAAACATTAGAAAGAAAGAAAGAACGAGAGAGAGAGAGAGAGAAAAAAAAGGAAAAAAAATGACGATTCGAATAATCGTTCTTGCGTTTATATACGCGCCTGCCTACGGCCACGCATCTTTGCTTTCTTTTCTTTTTCATTTTTTTTTCTTTCTTTCTTTCTTTCCTTCTTTCTGTCCTATTCTATTCGATTCTATTCCATCTCTTTCCCTTACGCACATTTCCCACCATCCCCACTTCCTATTTTCTCCTACACTTCTATACACTTCTTCGTAGAAGTTCCTTTTTCCTCCTTCATAGACGAACACAATTCCCCTCCACCGTCCCACTACTATAGGACGGCAAACCTAGACAATAACTCTTTTGTCTATGGCCGAAGGCACGTGGCGCAGGAAAATTACAACGCTGCCAGTTTATTGTAAACATTTGTCCGCGCAAATAGACTCAGGAGGGCGAGAGATCATCTCTCGATTTTTATCTTTCTCTCTCTCTTTCTCTCTCTCTCTTTCTGTGTTTTTTTTCTTTTCTTTTTTCTCTCTTTATCTTTATCTTAATCTTTATCTTTACTTTTATCTTTATCTTGACGCCTCCTTGGCGTGTAACGGAAGAAAAGGGGTAGAAGGAAGTGTAGGGTGGAGTAGGGAGGAAAGAAGCCAAAGCATCCACCCCACCCCTCTCTGCTGCCTACCACCACCCACCCCCCGTTTTGTTTTCTCGAGAAAAACCACTCGGATAATACGAGACTGTCTGAAAGGACTCCCCGAAAGAGAGTCTACGTAATAACGGCGAGACGTTTCTTAAATTTCTTCCCGACCAATGAAAATGTAGGAAAGAACGAGGAGATCGAACTAGAGTGGTGGAGGTGGGGGGTGGGGGAAGTTACGAACACGAGCCAGGTCTGACAATGTACGACTGCATTTATATGTTTACATGCGAACTCGCGTATCGTATTGCTTGAAAAGAAAAAAAAAAAAAAAAAAACATTCGGATTCGTTTACAAACATAAATTCACATTTTAGATGTTTGCATTTTTTCTTTTTCGTCTTTTTTCTTTTCGAAATACAATTTTTTTTTGCAAAATTTATCGTAAAAGTACTTCGTGAAAAAGTTATTAGATTAAGTGGTAGGGTAGAAAGTTTTACGTCAAAAATATTGGTTGGAACAACTTTGATGGCGATTCAAATGAATTCAAATTAGAAACGAAATTCGTAAAAATCGTATGTCATATGTGTTCTTGAAAAATAGCTTCAATTCGGAAACACGATCATATCGGGGGAGGGTGGAAGTATGGGTGCACATTACGATCGCACGTAACATGTTTTTTGTTTCCCTTCTAATTTTGGCTAATTGAAACTCACCCCCGAAAGTTACGTCGAAATGTTTATTTTAACATCTTGTATATCATAAATAAAAAAAAATAAAAACAAATCTTTTCGTTAACAAATTTGAATTACGCGTTATTTAACTTATGTTAATTTTTTTCGAGTAAAATTATCCCCAACTTCTGGCTCGATTTGATTATCAGTTTATAACAGAACACCCTTTACATTGTCGTCATACATTTATTATGGATTAATAATAAACACGTAAATGCATATTTAGTTGTACATATCTAGTAGAAAATTTCGTTAGATGGATTTAAAAGAACGAAAATAAATAGAGTGAAAAAATATGAAACACGACGATGGGTAAAAAATCCGTGAAAGTTCGAATGTTGCTGTAACAACGATCCATTTACGAGTAACATAATAAACTACGTACATCGACTTAATAACTTTAAACAATTCTGCTATCAAGTTAAAGTTTCATTTCTTTGCATCATTCCCTGCGAATAATATTATAATAATAATATATAATATTATTATCAATATTATTTTAAACAAACGAAAAATGTTATTTTGTTTTAATTTATTATTGCATATCGTTTTTTAATCTTTCATAAAATATTTTTGTCCACTCGTTCGACTCGTTACCAACTCATAATCGGTATTATAATTGTTTTTCATCTCCTTTCCCTTCCTTTCACACCCATAAATCGAATATAAATAAATTTTATAAATATTTTTGTTTCTTTTTTTGTAACAACTGGGATAGGATTTCCACTATTATTTTTAATGAAAGATAAAAATAACATTTTTCTGAGTTAAATTTTTTTACAAATAAATAACTTTGATACCTTGAATGCACTTGCATTTCCTTTTTTTACTAATATTTGTACGAATATTTGCTTTTACCACCTTCCCTCATAAAAATAAAATTTCCTATAAAAAGTCTTCCAAACTTGTTGAAACGTTTCAAACTCACCCCGAACGTGCAAACCTTTATACAGATGATAAAAAAGAGAAACTAATAAATATCAACATTACGATGGATTAAACCGAAATGAAAAACGAAGAAAGAAAAAAAAGATAAATTATGAATTTAATGAGTAAGCATGGGGTGGAGGGAAAGGACCCTATCAAATTTCACCCATCGCGTCATTTCCGCTTTTATTTGTGCTCCGTGTTATTTCTCTATCTGTCGTAGATACATTCGTTGAATTCAATCTCGTAAGCCGGATGTTGTCAATAAGCGTGTATGTGACGAGATAAATCCAAAATACTGGAAGAATTCGAATCATATTTTGGCGATAGTCCGAAAGGAAAATATATGCCATATTGTAAGAATGAAATCCCTCCAAGGCCCCTCCCCAAAAAGAAAAACAGAAACAAATAAACATAAATAACAAGAAAAGATTTCAAATTTTGGTGTTTATTCATTTTCAACAATTTTTTCTTTTCATTTGTCATATGGAAAATATTTAATAGTTAATATAATCATTTGATATATATATATATGATATATAATGATAATGAAATCTAATATAATTAAAATTAAATTATATGTAATAATTATTAGATCGTTTAAGATTTCAAAAAAATTTTGTAATATGCAATAAATTAATCATCTCTCTCTCAGGCACACTCTTTACAATACTCTCTTCCTTTTACCATCCCTCCACTCTTTTTTTTTTCTTCTTCTTCTTTTAAACAATGGTGAGACGTGATCTATCGCAAGGAACGCGCAGGATTTTGGGTGATGGAAGAAAAACGTCAATCCAATGCGAGACATCGAGAATAAGGAGCGAAAGCAGGCAATTTTTTAAGTGTGCAAGAGAGAAGGAACCCCTTCTTGAAAGAGTAGAAGAAGAAGGGTAACAGGAAAAGGGGTGGCTCGAGTACCAAAGGCAAGATCAAGACATGGGGAATACTTTCGACAATTTTTCTCGAACATCTTTCTATGTTTACGAACCTATGCATTACGTATATATGTATATGTAAATTATTATACTCATATACATATGTATGCGTACGATAAAGACGTTTCCGTATCGCCATAAAAATCCTCCATTCTTTTTCTTATATCATCTTTATTATACCATTTTTACCACTATTCTTGATGCTATTTTGATAAAAAAAATAATCAAATGTATATTTACGTGTCTAATTTTTGTTGAAATATTTTTGATTATTCTATCAACAACAAAAAATGAAAAAAAAAAAACAATAATACGATACTACATATCTTCGATTAAAAAAAAAAGAGAATCAAATTATATAATATATTGCAGAAATTTTTATACAAACTTACGATCTCGAATTTACGATTTATATTGAATTAATTGACACCATTGTGTTTTTAAACATTAACATAATTTAAATTGAACAACCGATATAAGATTAAAAGCGATTTATTATCTATAATTAAGCATTATCCGCGTATATAAAAAGATGCATACAACTTGTTGGTTAGTTAAATATTCTCGATGGAAAAGTAAAATTCGTTTAAAAAGATAGACGAATGAAATTTCACGATGCTAGTAATTAACGTTAATGAATACTAAATATATTTCATAAATCTACTAAGCGTGAAATATTACGCTTAATCAGGTTAATATTCTTCTAGCATAAGAAAGTCGAGGTCGATACAGTTTCTCTCTCACTCTCTCTCTCTCTCTCTCATCAAATGATTTTACGAACATTTGGAATTTCATGGTCGAAGTAGAAATCTTATTTGGTGCGGTCTCGCATTTAAACCGAAATTTAATTTTACTAGCTAGGAGGAGACAGACAAATCTAATCAAAATAATTTTAAACTTTAGAGGAAACATCTCAGGGAAAAGTCCAAGGGTCAGTTGGATCAAGTACGTTCATTAGTGATCCTTGATCACAAGGACTAAATTCAATGTTGGCTTAGGAAGAGATAGCTTATGGTTAAATTTTGATTCAACCAATGGGTTATATTTAGTCATCGTTCTAGAAACTGAATAATTTCTATATAAATCCTATATATTTAATAATGAATGATTTTTTTTTTTTTTATTACTAATGGATTACCGCGAAATTATTTACAACGAATAATCGAATTATTTTATCGAATAAAACTGTGATCGAAGTTTTTAAATGAAAAATCTCGACATCGAAGAACAAGAACAAAAATATCGGAGATATTTGATTAATGAAATTATTTGAATGACTGTGCACCCCAAAAACAAAAACGAAAAAAAAGGACCACGATGAATCTCGTTTACAATTTTTATTTGAAATTTGAATAATATTTTACGGTTTACCTTATTACGAACTCTAGTTTGATTTCTGTTTTATCGGTCGCGTTAAATGTTGTGACTAAATATTGAAAGAAATTATCAATTAACAATCATTTTCTCGAATTTCTTTCTCACTCGTCGGGTAATGCGTACAAAGTCGTTCGAAACCATTGACGATGAAAACAACAAATTGATCATTTTTATTTTCTCGAATGCTCCATCTATCGAAAATAATTTGATTACTCAACGCTAACCTGTATTATCGATAAAACAGAATACATTTCAAAAAGGGACTATTATATCGGTAAATAAAATCAAAATCTATCTCGACCCAATTTTTCCGTACGATCGTTCAAAAACAATTAATTTATTTATTTTAAATATGCGTTAGAACTGATACGAATGTATCAATTCGTTTACTAAAAAAAAGAAAAATATATAAAAATTCGTCATGAACTTTTACTCGTCTCCTTGATTCATCAACCTACAGTCACACCTGTTCCCATTGCAGGCACAAACTTGTAACTCTAATTTAAGCACATATATGCGTTCTCATGAACAGCGTAACATTTTTTTATCAAATAATTTCTACATTTATATATAAAATCTATTTTATTCTACTAAATGCTAAATACAATTTTTTTAATAATAATTTTGGTGTAAAAAAATAAAAAACTAAAATAAATGTTTTAAACGCAAAATTGAAAGATCGTAAAAATTAGCTCTTTTTTTTATTTCACTAAAATTACGTAGGTACCTGAATAATTACTAATATTAAATTAATAATTTATGAAATAATATTTAATTGATTTGAATTAAGTAATAATAATCGAGATATTGTGACTTTAATCGTAAAAAGAGACGTGTATAAACATTTGAATCGAAAACATTCCTTACAATTATTCGATGTGACAAACCGAATAATTTTTCCCATTACTTCTTGAACTCTGATATATATCAGATATTATATTATTATATTATTTTATATATATATATATAAGGATGGCATGTAAGAAGATAGAAATCACATAGCAACTGAGGACTACCAGAAGAGTCCGCTTGAATAGAATGAGTCACGTTCATTCGTGAACGAACACGCTTTACCTAGCTGTTCGTTGACCGAGCTTCACGAGATTGTGGCAGTCTGTTAGTTTGCTTCGTTTGCGATACACGCGGAGGAACAGTACGCGTTCAATATAATCAATAGAAAAAAATTATCGACACAAAAAAAAGGAAAAAGTGAGAAAGTGTACCAGTTCATTGATTTAATTTAATTTAATTTTTTTTTTATTTTTCGTTCAATTTGAATTGTTTTTCAGAAAGAAATGTATACAAAATCAATAAACGTTAATAATCCAATGGCAAATGACAGGATAGTTAAATTTATTCAACTTTATCGATCATGCGAGTGCCTTTGGAACGTCTCATCCAAAGATTACGGAAGCAAACTTTCCCGTAATGCTGCTTTCGACACGATATCAAGGAAAATGCAAATTCCAAATTTAGGACCGCGAGAAGTAGCCAGGAAAATAAAAAATCTTAAATCGGCTTACCAACTGGAAGTAAAGAAGATCAAAGAAAAATCATTATCGGGAATTGTTTATCGACCGAGCGCCATGTGGTTCAATCTTTTGGATGAATTTTTACAAAACTCTGAGAAATCGGTTGAACATAATTGTAGATCGAACGATCATCAATCAACCGATCGATCTGAAACGGTAATTTATTTATATTCATTCGTTTCTTATTCGTTTATTTAATTGAATTATTAAAAAATCTATTTCTTATTCCACGCAAATGTTTGTTTCCAACGGAACAAACTACATAAATTCGAATTTTATAATTTTTTTTTACACGTAAAAATTTGCATTTTTTTACATTAATTGTTGCAACATATAAAATCTGTAAGAAATATAATAGCATTTATTTTGGAGGTTATGTTTGATTTATGAATGTACTATAGTACAACACACAGTTCGTTTTGTTATGCAAATCACAACATTCATTCGTCGGTACTCGTCATAAAATACTATTCGGCTATTTTTTTATTTTTTCACAATCAAAGTACTAATTCTCTTTCTTATGCTATAAATACGAAAAATAATAATTACAAATAATTAAAACCCAATTATTTGTCGATAAGAATAAGAACAGGATCGTCATAAAAATGTAAAACAATTTTCTTTTTTACAGACTCAACAAACTGTATCGAACATTAACGATGAAAATAACGTTTCGAGTATAACGAAAAATCTTTTTAAATTTGAATCAAGCTCGGACAATGAAAGTAATTCTTCATCGAGAAGAAATAAAACATCGTTGGTCGATGTTATTTTCAACGAAAGACAAAAAAAACGTAGGAGGAAAGAAAAAGACAGGATGACACTTAACGAATACAAAAGTTTTGGTAAATACGTTGCTAAGAATTTGAACAAAATGCCATTCGAATATGCGATATCAGCAGAAACTGAAATTCACAGTATCATAATAAAGTATAAGGTTTATGCTATGCGAAAAATTGTTTATTCAAAGAGGAATACAACGAGCATGATCAAAAGGCATCCGTCAACATTTCTACCATCTCAAAATTTTTCTTCGATACTTCGTCATAGTATTCATGAAATACGACCAACGTAACATAATTTCGTTAATAGGATTGAAGATACGTTTGATATTAGAGCCAAAGTTTTTAATCTATTATTGTATTTATATTAAACGTTTAGTGGCATCTAGATTAAAATTACGTCGACCGTATTTTTCGTAATTTTAGATATATTTTTTTTCGATAAATTAAGCAATATATTAGACATATATCTAATACCTAAATTATATTAAAAAGAACAAAAAAACATTTTTTGATAATAGTCTGGTTACGAATTTCTAGTTGCAATTTATTTATAATATACACAATGTTCTGTTGTAATTAGTGGTAAAAACTAGCAAAGAATGATTTTACATGAAAATACTAGTAAGTCAAAAATTAATGATAAAATTTGTTCGTACGAGAAATTTTTTAACTAAGAAAAATAATTATTTTGAAAATTCGTCTAATTATGCATTTAATTGTGTTTGTAACCGTCGATATTAAAATGAGCATAAGAAAACCAATTAAAAAAAATTTTGACGGTATTAGAGAAATATAATAAAATAGTTTTGTTCTGTTTTGCGTGCAAAAACGGAAAAAAGGGGATCACTTGAAAATGATCATTGATATGCAGTATTTATCTAGTTGATAATTAATCTTAGCATATATTGCAGTAAATGTATTTATATTATATCGTCGATATGCATTATTTATAAATCCTTGTTTATATTTCTTCGGTATTTCACGAACGATCAACGATAACTTTATTTTTATATCTCCAAACGTTAATGTTTTAAGAAATACAAAAATGCTCTTGAAAAATATTAAAGATAATAAATCTAAAATTAAAAAATAGATAAATTTTTAAAATTAAAAATAAGATAATAAGTAACTTAAACTAATCAATTTTCATAAACGTATGAACTACTTGTATTTTATCTTTTTTACTTGCTATTAATGTTTCATACAAAAGAACCTCCTGTCTGTTTATACGAACATCCAGTATAATTAACTATAGAGAAAATTAAATAGTCACATTAAATTATATAACAATGATCATATATACATATACATATATGTATAATTAAACATTTATAGATTAATAGATAATACGATAGAAAATATTAAATCATTGTAGAGAAAACAAAATAACGAAATAATAATAATTATTATTATTAAAAAGAATTTTTTTGATTTGAGTGTTCGTCGAATGTTAAAGAAAATAAAGAAAAAAGGGGAAAAAGGAGTAGGAGTAGGGAAGAAAAAAAAATGAACTTAAATTTCTTGCTCAAGTGGATTTTCTTTTCTTTTTTAATCGTCAGCGAAGCGTCTCGTATCACAAAGGGTTAACGATATTCCATTTCTGAACGATCGCGCTTCGCCGATAACAGGGCTTTCCATTCTCAACAGGCTTTCCGATTCTCGACGGCGTAAAATCAACAAGGAAGTGCTTTCTCTCTCTCTCTCTTTCTCGCTTTCACATTCTCTATCTTCGTCTCCCTTCACGAATATATATCTTCTATCAGCTCTTATTTTATCGTTTATCGATTATGGTCGCGGCGCCGTTCTCTTCGGTGTTTGTAATGATGAAGTTGGCATAAAATTGCAAATGCCTTTTTACTATATCGTTACCTGTAAAATAGGGAAATGAATAGAAAGAAAAATAAAAAATATATGATTATATATAAAATAAAACGAGCAAAGCAAAACAAAAACAAAAACAAAATATAAATAAATTACAGAACCAATATCCTGTTATAATTCAAGCAAATATATTGAATGAGAGAGAAAAACTAATCTACGTAAGATTTAATTTTATATTCAAAATTCGAAAAAGTGAAAGAAAAAAAGAGAAAGAAAAAAGATAGAATATAAAATAAAATAAATCAAACAAAACAAAACATAAATTACAGGATCAATATTTTGTTATAGAATTAAGCAATTATATTGAATGAAAATTAAGCTATGAAAGATTTAATTTTATATTCAGAATTCAAATAAAGAAAAAAAAGAAGGAGAGGGAGAGAGAGAGACAGAGAGATAGAGAGAGAGAGAGAGAGAGAGAGAAAGAGAGAGAGAGAGTAGAATCAGTCCCGTTGAAGAAGAAAAAAGGAACAAAAACGGACAAACGTGTGTTGATGGTGCGTTTGATCCTTGGAATAAATCTCGACTATAGGTTTACATAAATATATGAATCAGGTCTATTGGAAAGTTCTGACAATTTTGAGAACAAAACAAAAATAATAAATTTCATCATACCTCGAATAAGCATTAATGAATAATAACAATTGTCAATCATTATTTATGACTTTTTGCCAGCTTGATAGCTATCTGTATTCTATAATAAATGCAATATATATGAGAGAGAGTAGAATATATATATATATAACGAGCATATGAAATATAATAAAATAATCCAATTATTTGGTTATTGTAACAATTATAAAAATTTGAAAGAACTTTTGATTAACCCTAATGTAATAATATATATATATTTGTAAACCGTAAATGAACTTACTTATACCATTTTCCAAATAAATGGTCAATAAAATATAATAAAATAATCTAATTATTCTGTTATTGTAACAATTATAACAAATTAGAAAGAACTTTTGATTAACCTTAATAAAATAATATATATTTACAAGCTGTAAATGGATTTACTTATACCATTTTCAAAATAAACTGTTCACATGTATACATATTTATATATGTATATATATAAGTACATAGGAAGAAGGTGATGGGTGAAAGATCGAGTAGCGTTCATAGGGCCAGTCTCTAACGTCAGCAGGTCGCCTTGAAGACGCGTTTTCGTTGTAGCCAGGGATATCGACCGAGCCGACTCGACTCGACTCGACTCGACTCAACCTTCTCTACTCGGCTGGGTGCTAGGGAGATTCGAGGGGGAGAGGGAAGGGAGATTGGGGGTGGAAAGGCAGGAACACCCGAGGAGGGGGTGAGAGGAAGGGGGTTGGTTGAGTCTCGACGATCCCACGCGTACCACCACCACCACCATCACAACCACCCACCCCCACCTCCATCCTCGTTCCAAGCCGCCTATGCGTCTCCCTTGCTCTCACACACTCATACACACCCACATACATTTACACTTCTATGTATATACTTTACGTTATATTTCTTCATCCAAAGGTATATATATATACGATCCTAGCAGCAGTACTCTACTCTCTTCTAACGACCATAGGAGTGCGCGTGCCCACCCAACGAGGAGAGAACGACCAAAGAGAGGAGGCCTCCTCCTCAACTAGACAGGACGTAGGCCGTGCAAACATTCTATGCAAAATTCTCACCACTTTTATATTTCTTCTTCTATCCCCCGAGCATGTATATCTGTGTCTCTTTATATATGTGTGTATTTTTTTTCTTTTTTTTCCTTTAATTTTTGTTCCTTCCTTTAACCTCGTCCTTATACTCTCTCTTTCTTTTTCTCTCTCGCTATTTTTTTCTTTATTTATTTCTATTTTTCTCTATTTCACTCAGCAAACTTTTTCCTCGGTAACTTCCCCTTTAGTTAGTTCATAGCGTTTGGGGATTGGGGAGGGGGGTATGGAAGAGGGAACGGGGCGAATCGTCGTAAGCTTTGCGTAAAAAAAACATCAGAGTCGTTAGGATATCATCCTATTCGTACGTTCGTTCATTCGGTCGGTCACGACTGCATCTATGTTCTTTTATTCGCCTTTCAATGAAAATCGATTTTCCACAGAGGCCTTTCACATAGGATTTTAACAACAATTGTTAAAGCGTCAGACGTTATTTCACACCTGTTCTCGACACCTATATATATATGTAATGGTATTCTCTTCTTATGTATTATTTATCGTTAGTTATATAAATGCAATTGAGGAATTTGATTTAAACGGTTTATCAAATATCTCAATTGTTTGATTATTAAATAATGATATTAATCGTATATGTTTAGAATAAATTCTTTGATTTATTCTTATCGTTTGATTTAATCAAAAAACCAAAATTGACTTTAAAAACGATCTGTTCATGTTTTCTTTCCAAAATTAATACAAACTTTTGTTTGTTTTAATATCAAATTTATTTAATCAATCATACGCGTAACAATTATTGAAAACAATTAATGATCATCTAATTATAAAATTAAATAAAAAGAAAGAGAGTGAGTATAAACATAATAAAGAAAATAAAATCATCAATCGCGTTAACATTAGATTTACGAATTTGATTAGCCAATTCGAGTTATTATAAAAATTTGATTACTGTACATATATATAAATTACCATATATTATATAAAATTTAAATATTATTTTGCAAAACCTTATCTTGCTTTTCAATTACCTAACGAAATTATTCGTAAATATTAAAATTCCTCCTTTCTATTCAATCCTTCAATTCAAACAACGTTTGTAAATCATACTTAATAAATAAAATGAACATAATGAACAAAACATTCGTAAATCTAATGTTAAGAGTTATTATTCTGTTAGATAATAGTTTATTGATGTTGTTTTTATTGTTATAAGACACTTCGAATTTGCAGAAAGATATTTAGATATCTAACTAGCTAGCAAGCTAGCTAGCTGTTCGTCGGGTTCGTTTCAGTCTGACAATGAGTGGAGGAGACTGTCTGCTACCTACGACTATCATCCATCCTTTCCAGCCAGCCGTTGCACGAGCTGTTTCACTCCCTCTTCACCCCACCCCATGGTTCACCCTCCGCGAAACCCTCCGCGAAAGCCACCCCTTTTCTCCCTTGTACATACGCACTCACACCTATATATATATATATATATACGCTCAGAGTTCTCTCCCCACCCTACCTTGTATTTCCCCCACCTTACCTTGCATCCCTCCCACCAACTTACCGCTCGATGCTTTACGCTCCTTTGTCACGAGACATAATGACGCGATGCCTACATCTCTCCACCATCCCTAACCTTCCTCTCTTACCTCTGCTACCCTACCACTAACACCCTCTACTACCCCCTCAACCAGGAGAGAATTCACGCTTTCAGGAAGATCGAGAAAATTTTACGAGTTTATTTTTATTTTTATTTTTATTTTATTTTGTTTTATTTTAATTCATTTTATTTTAGACCGAACGATTATTTTAATAACATTCTAAAGTATTCTTCTGTATTTTTTAAACTTGATTGTTACTAAATTTTTATTATTAAATATATATATATATGATAYTATTTTATATTATATTATATAATAACAATTATATTATAACAATTTAATTATAACAAAGTAATATTTATTAAATCGATTGATTATTAAAATAATATCTAAATTTCATAAGGTTGTAGCTTTGTATAATTATAGGACAAGAAAAAATAATTATCATAAAGTAAAGTAAAATATTCATCCTAGTTGAGAAGGTCATGGATACACGCCGTGTTACTTTTTTCTCTCTTTCCCCTTTTCTTTTCTTTACAATTTGACGATTGCAATATTTTGTTTTATTTTTTTTTTTTTATATTTAAATTTGATCGTAATGAAGTTGGAGTTTTGCTTGATTAAAACGAACAAGAAAGAAAAAAAGAAATAATTATCCTAAACTAAAGTAAAATATTCGTTCTAGTTGAGAAGGTCAAGGATACACCGTATTACTTTTTTTCCATTCCGTTCCATTTCGTTTTGGTTTCTTTTCTTGTTCAATTTAACGATTATAATATTTTAAGTTTTTATATTTTAAAATTTCATCGTAAAATAAGTTGGAGTATATAGCAGCTTGTTTAAACAAAAACGATATATTCTCAACCGGAACAAAAAAATTCGTCCCATTTGGAAATATTTT